ACGACGGGTTTTTCTAAGGAAATATAGAGAATAAATGTTAGTCGAGTTCAATGAATGCTTACCCTCTAGCTGAACTCCAAAAACACTCCCAGAGCCCTGATAAACGGCCACCCAGGAGCCGCGGTGACGTATTACGAGTAAACAGCTAAGGGGAGATATTCGGAAAAACTTGCCTATACGTTGGTCCTTTGCACACACTGGCCACCCGGGGAGGGGGGATATGATCCTAATCTTCAAGCGTGATTTTCATCCGCTAAGCCACCACCACCAACAAATCGCAATCGGTGGCTCCGAGCACGGTGCGTCAACGAACCTAAATATAGAGGGAGGTCGCCCGTCCGTCCATATGGACACGGTTCCACATGTGCACGGGGCGTATGTTCGTATGTTTTTTTTTGACCCGCCACCAGTATGTCGGGCGACTAGATAATCAAGTGTGTGAACTGTTGTTACTGTAGCAATTAAGAAAAAAAAGCAGAGGAGGTGCATGCGGTGTTGTTCGAGTTATCACGAGTTTGTTGAACTAGTAGCTTGGTGGTGTAGTGATGACCGTACACTGGGCACGCGTGCTGCATGTCTGCTGTTGCGGGTCGAAACAGACACAGCATGCGACGCGGTGATCGAGGTTGTAGGTGGCGGCACCATGGATGGCGAGGTTGTCGCCATGGCTGACGGGAGAGATGGACATAGAGTGGCGAGGGAATAATATTACAGTCACGCGGGTCCAATAAGACAGCTTTCAGGTACAGTACACTCTAGAGTTATTATGGTGATGTCGGGTGTCAATAATCAGCAACAAGTATTCAATACTCAATATTCAATGTTCAATTATGTTTCTCCCCAGATAGAAAGGACAATACAAAGTGGCAAGTAAGGAGTAAAGTGATGCGCCTGTGTTTGACGTAAGGCGGTTGATAAGTTTGGAAAGTGCCAGCTGTGACAATTCAAAGTGTAGATTGCAGCCGCATGGGTCTCTTGGGCGCCCAGTTTAAACCTCTTCCTCAGCTGTCTCCTCAGCTGTCTGCTAGCGTGTACGGTGATCCTTCCAAGGTGCGCCAAGGATAAAATGTCATGATAAAGCTCGTCCTCACAGCAGTTGTTGTCGCAGTTCGTGGTCGCAGTCTGTTGTTGCAGTCTGTGGTGGTCACTCGCGTCGACACACGAGACCCGGCTATGGCAAAAAGTAGCTCGCGCAGAGAACGATATGGGAGGATGAAGCTTGAAGAAGCACATGAAGCTGTCACGGCAGAGAAACCTTGGCGTACTACCGCCGGAGATGGAATCGGTCCACTACCCCATCAGAGAGATAACCAAAATGTTACGCCGCCGCAACTGCCAGTGTGCGGGGTTCGGGAGTTGTATATGTCGAGCGAGCGCTGCAACGAACGGCCTGCGACGGACGACGAACGGCGGTGTCTGGAGCCTGTGATGGCCGGTGGTGGGTGGTCGTAGTGGCCGACGACGAGCAGAAGGTCGGAGGAGAAGAGAAGCGACATCCGGGCGTGTGGCGCTGCAAGGATGGTTCCATGGACCATGTGGTTCTCGATGGAAGCATACTTTCCATATGTGATGGCAGCATACATCCCACACACGACGTCTCTTTTGGCCAGGTGGTCCCTCTACAGGTCTCCCCGCCTGGCATATAAATTCAATCCATCTCGTCCCTCCCCCGCCTTCTTCACTTGTTCGCGTCGTCCCCCGCTGACCTACAGTCACCATGTCGGCCTCCCCTACCCAGGAGAAGTACGACCTCGACGAGGAGAAACATCGTAAGAGCACACACACACACACTCCTCCCTGCTATCGTCGCTAACTCCGCCCCCCTCCAGAGATCCCTCAGAACGTCGCCGTCACCGACTTTGAGGATCCCAACCTCGACCTTGACCACGTCGACGTCCTCGAGGATGACTCCCCTTATCCCGAAGTCAGGTCCGCCGTCGCAAACACAGACGACCCCAACATGCCCGTCAACACTTTCCGGGCCTGGTTCATCGGCATCTGCTGGGCCATCCTCATCCCCGGTCTGAACCAGTTCTTCTTCTTCCGATATCCTGCCGTCACAGTCTCTGGTGTCGTCGCACAGCTTATCTCCTTCCCCCTCCTTCGTCTCTGGGCTCGCGTCGTTCCAGCCGTCAAGATATTCGGTATCTCCCTCAACCCCGGCCCTTTCACTATCAAGGAGCACGTCCTAATCACCATCATGGCTACAGTCGGCTACCAGTCTGCATATGCCGTACGTTTCATTCACACCATCATTATCTAGGCTCCCGCTCTTACCATCCGCTCATTCGCACTTGTCGCTTCTAGACTGATATCATTGCTGTGCAACGAGTCTACTACAACCAAGTCTACAACTTCAGCTATCAGTGGCTGCTCGTCATGTCCACCCAGCTGATCGGTTTCTCCATTGGTGGTATCGCTCGTCGTTTCTTGGTCCAGCCCCCGTCTATGATCTGGCCCGCCAACCTTGTCACCTGCACCCTCTTCAACACCCTCCACTCTCAGCAGTATGCCGGTATCGGTAACCGCGGTGGTATCTCTCGTGAACGTTTCTTCACGTACATGTTCATCTTCTCCTTCTCCTGGTACTTCCTCCCAGGCTACATATTCACCGCTCTCTCTACCTTTAACTGGGTCTGCTGGATCGTTCCCGAGAACGTTGTCGTCAACCAGCTCTTTGGTACCGCCTCTGGTCTTGGAATGTCCATCTTCACCTTTGACTGGGCACAGATTGCTTATATTGGCTCTCCTCTCGCTACCCCGTGGTGGGCCGAGGCAAACATTGCAGGCTCCATGGTCCTGTTCTACTGTGAGTTTTTTTTTCGCTTATTCTTTTGTTAAAGTACAACTATTTACATCTTCTCCAGGGATCATCGTCCCCGCTCTGTACTACAGCAACGTTTGGTACGCCAAGTTCCTCCCCATCTCCTCTACCCACTCGTTCGACAACAGAGGCAAGTCATACGATGTCTCTCGTATTTTGGACGATAGCGGTTCCTTCTCCGAAGAGCTTTACCGGGCATACTCTCCTCTCTTCCTCTCCACCACCTTTGCCCTCAGCTACGGTCTTTCGTTCGCTTCCATCACTGGTAAGTCCACGAAATAGGTGGAAACAGTGGTTATATATGCTAACATAATTTTTACAGCCACGCTCACCCACACCTTCATCTACTTCCGCAAGCAAATCTGGGTCCAGTCTCGTCGCTCGATGCACGAACAGCCTGATATCCACGCTCGCTTGATGGCCAAGTATCCGCAGGTCCCCGAGTGGTGGTACGGCATCATCTTCTGTAAGTCGCAACTTCTTTTCCACATGAACCCGTCGCGCTTCCCTTCTTGTGTCTAATTTCCGTGCTTCCTTTTTCCCAGTGGCCATGTTTGTTTTCGGTATCATCGACATCGAAGTATGGCCCACCGACATGCCCGTCTGGGCATTTGTCCTTGCGCTCATTATCGCCTTTGTGTACATCATCCCCATCGGCATGATCCAGGCCATCACCAACCAGCAAGTCGGTTTGAACGTGATCACTGAGCTTATCATCGGTTATGCTCTCCCTGGCAAGCCCATTGCGATGATGATGTTCAAGACCTGGGGCTACATCACCATGGCGCAGGCCTTGCAGTTCACCAGCGACTTCAAACTCGGTCATTACATGAAGATCCCTCCCCGCCCCATGTTCTGGGCTCAAGTCATCGCCACCGTCATCGCCGGTACCGTCCAGCTCGGTGTCCAAGCCTGGATGTTCACCAACGTCAAAGGCATGTGCGATCTCGACCAACCCGACGGGTTCATCTGCCCCTCGACGCAAGTCTTTGGTACCGCCTCCATCATCTGGGGTGTCATCGGCCCTGCTCGTCAGTTCTCCCAAGGCCAGATCTACTATGGGTTGGTCTTCTTCTTCCTCGCTGGGTTCCTTGCCCCGGTGATCACGAGGATCGTGCAGTTGAAGTTCAACAATGTGTTGCTCAAGTACATGAACTGGCCGGTTATCTTCAGCGGAACGGGTCTTATTCCCCCTGCGACGCCGAGCAACTACGTGACGTGGTGTGTCACTGGGTTCATCTTCAACTATGTCATCCGCAGGAGGCATTTCGCGTGGTGGACAAAGTACAACTGTACGTCTCTTTCTTTCTTTCCTTCCTTCTTTCCTTCCTTCCTTCCTTGCGTTTTTAATCTCCCTCACACCATCAACTAAAACTCCCCTTCTTTTTCTCTAGACGTCCTCTCCGCCGCCCTCGACTCTGGCGTCGCCGTCTCGAGCATCATCATCTTTTTCTGCCTGCAATACCCCCAGAACGGCATGATCGGCGCCACGACGATCCAAACCTGGTGGGGCAACACCGTGTCAGGCAACACCGCCGACGCGCTCAAGAAACCGTATTGGAAGCTTGCGGTCAACGAAACGTTTGGTCCGACGACGTGGCATTAATATGTTGGTAAAAACCTCCGGCGTTGGATGGGTGGTTGATTGGTTCTTCTTTACATTACTTATACGATGTTGTTGTTCAAGTTGTTGTTATATCGAGTCGCGTTGTAGTAGTACTACGTAGTGGTTTTTTTTTTTTTCGAATTTTCTCTCTCTCATTGTCTCGCTCACTCTCTCATGTACTTTGCAATTGCCCTGCTCCATCACGCACGCACATACGCACGCAATCATGATCTCTGCTTATAAACTCATGGATACGAGGCTCCGGCTGTATGACGCCCCCCCTCGCGCTTTTAGATGCTCGAGTTCGGAGTCGGGGTTCTTTTGATCGTTTGCAGGTAATTGTGGAGTTAGTAGTTGCAGATTTCGTGCACTATATGGTGCATTATTCAAGCTGCATGTAGTTAGAGTCCTTAAATTGAGTATAGTGTTCAAGTTTACGTTTACCTTTGGATCGATCCAACTGTTCGAAGAGAGCCTTACAACGTCACGTTTGTTTTAGAAAGCCTTTGTAAATCCAATCGACCAAGTACTGTACGAAGAACACTAAGAAAAACAATAAAATAAAATAAACTGCCCCAGTGAGGCTCGAACTCACGACCTTCCGATCACGTTTGACTTTGAGGTGACGCCTCGCAGTAACAGTCGGACGCTGTGACCAACTCAGCCATGGGGCAGTGAAAGGGTTGGTGTTTAGATGGGATGTGTGGTGAGTTAGGGGGATGAGGCAAATGATCCATACGCTCTCGCCGTGACCAAGTTCAACAACAACAACTTGAAGCTCAACGTTATGGTCATTGCGCAGGCTGCTTAGCGACTTCTTTGCGGTTAGTACTACCTGTGCGTTATTTTGAATACTCACATTGAACTGTTTTTCTAGTTCGGAAGTATCGATCGTGACTACTAAATGCCCCTCGGCGTCCGCATCTTTCCAACATGATGTACTGTACCGTATTTTTGAGCTAAGTTGTCGTGCTCGCTACGGCTATTACAACGCGGGATATACTGAAGCTTTTTTGGGGGGTTCAGTTTTCAACGGACTGTCTCTGAGGCTAGTGAGACAACCGGTCTCTAATAAGTGCAGTGAGTTTTATTTCGATCTGGTTTGGTACCATCGAAACAAACGCGACCGTCGATGTTCTGACGAGATGTTTGGTTTGGATTATATCAGCCTTTGTGGTTGGGGGTTTTTTTCTATAAAGCCTACCTCGTCGTTGCTGACTTCCCCTCGCCGTTTTTTCTCTCTTACCGCCGTATCCCACCTTTCGACCTCAGCTGACTCGGTCTGGTTCAGACGGTGAGTTGATGTATGTGTTGTTGGATGCCTGACTGTCTTCTCTATGTCATCTAGAAGTCACCACTCCTTTCCTCTGTTGGAGTCATCATCGACCCCCCTTGTCGCCCCTCGTGGTCCAATAAGAGCTCACAACCCTTGCTACTTCCTCGAGACCCTCTCTCGGTATCGAAGCTATCCAACTCACAAGACCTACTATACACCCTCTACTGAACCAACACTCTCCGTCTGCCCTTCTTCAATCGTAAACACTCCTCATATCTCGACGCTCTCGGTCATTCTCTCCTGCATGGGGTCTTACTAGAGCCACAGACGAACGGGAATAATGTCTGGCGGTGCATGCTCCTTGTCTTGGGATTCTTGGAGCGGAGCAGTGTCTTGCATTGTTCCTTTGAGATTGTCCTTCGACATCCGATTTCCCGTGTCTATTGGTAAGTTTGTCTAACTCAATAAAAACGCGACACAGGCAACTAACACTCATATGCCTAATAGTCTTGTGCGTTACGTTTTTTATTTTATTGAGCTTCTTCCCGCTGGGCTGTCTTCTCTCTACTGCTCTCGTTCCCTCCTACGACGACGACGACAACTGATATATCTATCGGGTCTCATTGGACCTCCGGCTTTGGCCTATGTATCTGACGGATGCTATTCCTCTGGATGACGACAGCTCCGACTTTGGCTTAGGGAACGTCTGGTGACTGTACGGAGCAGGCATTCTTGCTTCTGTCCTCGGCAACGTCACTACTAGCTCTCTTCTCCGGAAATACTAGGACAACCCTCTCCGCCTTTCGAGGAACGGTCTATCGCTTGCGGGCTGATATGTCTCCCTTGTCGTGTTCGTACGTATCTCAGAATTCAAGGTTCATGTTTGTTGGTAAATTGAAAGACGTCCAGAGTGTCTGGTGCTGCAAGACTCGTGAATATTTGCACTGATTCAAGCATCCGACACGTCAAGGCGCAGCGTATATTTGCATATCGAGGACAAGCTTAAGGATAACTACTAGCTTCTCGCACGTGTACATGTAACACAAGGCTATATTCCACTGAAAGTCTGGGTTGAGTGGCATCTGCAATTTGATTGAAAACTCAGTCCTACGGCTGAGTGCTGACTAGTTGTGTAGGGAAGAATGGCAGTCAGGGCAGATAAAGTCTACGGCCTCGAATATTTTCGAATGTATTCAACATGAATCAACTTGTTCTACCGACCATATAAAGACTGATGGAACTCAAAGAGGACGGAAATTGGAGATACTAAACAACAAAAATCCAAGCATTATCATCACAGTCAATTCCCGGAAATCTATCAAGTCAA